CTTTGTGTTAATTTTTGTATGGGGCATAGGTAAGCATCCAACTTCACTCACATGCATGTGGATATCCAGTTTTCCCTGCACCATTTGTTGAGAAAACAGCTCCTTCACCATTAAATTGTCTTGGCCCCCTTGTCAAAAATTAATTGACTGTTATATATTTGAGAGTTTAATTCTGGACTGTCTATTCCATGGTCTGTCTTTATGCCAATATCACACTGTTTTGATTACTGTAGCTTTGTAGTATGTTTTGAATATCAGAAAGTAGGAGTCCAAAAAAAAAATGTGTGAGTCCTCCAATTTTGTTCATTTCCCAGATTGCTTTAGCTATTCAGGGGTTCCTTGAAATCCAATATGAATTTTAGGATAGGTTTTTCTAATTCAACAAAAACACCCATTGAGATTTTGATAGGGATTGCACTGAATCTTTTTTTTTTTCCACAATGCTTTTTATCAACTAATATATATTTTACTTTCTTTTATTGTCTGTCTCCTCTATTAGAACTTCGGTTCATTGCTTTATCCCTAACACTTAGAATTCAATAAATACTGTTATTTGTTGAAAAAAGGAAGGAAGGAAACATTCTTATGTATTTAGCATCTGGCATATTGCTTGACACATACAAGATGCTCAATAAGAACTAGTAAACAAAGTAAACAAACTGGTAAACAAAGTAAAACACTATTTATATTTTTCACCTAATACATACTTAGACATATGTACACATTTCTACACTATCTACAAGTGTAGAAGCACTTTCTACAAGTGCTTCTCAATCACTTGTTCTCATATTGCTTCAGAAAGAATTCTGTGATAATTTAGTTGATGTAAATTTCTGTACTTGAAATAATTCTAAAATTGTAGGTTTATGTTTATCTATGGCATGTTTTGAATAGTTACCTGCAGCTGATTTTATATCCTATAGACACTTCATTTCCAAAATTACTGTTGCTCTTTAGGACCTATGGAAAATCTAAAGCCTAGCATCACACTAGGCTTCTGCTTGTAAAAATAAAACAAAACTCTAATAGTCCACTTAAAAAAAAGAAAACATCTCAGACAGCTTTGAGAGCATTTGATGTCAGGAGTTTCAAATCTTTTTTAATAGAAGGACAGCTCTCTGTCAAGGCCCCTGACAGCCTTGCTTGTCTCTACCTAGCCATGTAGGCAAGGCTTGACTGCAGTCTGAGTCTTGGCGGAATGCCTGGGATTCTTCCTGGAGCAAGGTCTCTATCATTTTTTCTTTTCTTTTTTCTCCTTCCTTCCTTCCTTCCTTCCTTCCTTCCTTCCTTCCTTCCTTCCTTCCTCCCTCCCTCCCTCCCTTCCTCCCTCTCTCTGTTCTCTTTCTTTCTTTCTTTCTTTCTTTCTTTCTTTCTTTCTTTCTTTCTTTCTTTCTTTCTTTTTCTTTCTTTCTTTTCTCTCTCTCTCTCTCTCTATTTCTTTTTTGGTGGGAGAGAGAGAATCTGAGAATCTTAAGTAGCCAGGCTCAATCTCACAATCCTGAGATCATGACCTGAGCTGAAATCAAGAGTTGGGTACTTAACCAACTGAGCCACCTAGGTGCCCCTAGGTCCCTATCTTGTGGAAGACACCCCCCCAAAGGTGTTTCTCTTCCATTTCTCTAGTTTTATTTTTATTTTTTTTAAGATTTCATTTATTTATTTATTTATGGTAGACAGAGAGAAAGAGAGAGAGAGAGAGGGAGAGAGAGAGAGAGAGGCAGAGACACAGGAGGAGGGAGAAGCAGGCTCCATGCTGGGAGCCCGACGTGGGATTCGATCCCGGGTCTCCAGGATTGTGCCCTGGGCCAAAGGCAGGCGCCAAACCGCTGAGCCACCCAGGGATCCCCCCATTTCTCTAGTTTTAGTGGGACTAATGATTTCCATCTTTTCCTCCCCTTCCTGCCCCATCCCTCGCCACCTTAGGCTACAGCTGCAGGCTTCTGTGTAAGTCTATGAAACTACTCAGCTGAAGTATAAAGTTGGTTTGTCAATGCAGAGTGACCCATCACTCATGACACCTATGGCTATTGATCTCTGGGAGTAGGGATGTTATCCTATGGGCCTAGGGATGCAGGGGACTGACATCCTGCTGGTCTTGCTTTTACTGTCTTATAAGTATGATAAGTGATCTAAATCCAATTAGATTCTTTTTCTCCTTACAGGTTTTATCTACAGACGCATGGCACTGCCACCATGCTGTTTGCTTAGAGGTCGCTTCACTGCTTGAAAAGCCTCACACATACATTGCCTCTAATGACATGACTTATCACCAAGTCCTTTAAACCACTCTTACATCATGACAGGCATATAAACCTAACAGTAGTCCAATTCTAGAATTAATATAAAAAGAAAGCTTTATTATTCAAAACCCAAAGTGAGGTTTACAGTAAGTAAAATAACAGCTGTCATTAAACACTATACTTATATGCACATATGTACATACACCACATATATAAGAGTTATATATGATAACTCTTATATATGAGTTATATATATATGAGTTATATATCTCTTATATATAAGAGATAACTTGAAGACTATATAAGAAAAATACAAAAATGCTACATGAGAAGGAAATCAGAACACAAAATTTAACTGGTGGTATTATTTCACAATATAAACACATGCGTAAATGTGAAACAAATTGGAAGGGAAAGCTGAAAGATAATATTTTTGAGTCACTGGGTCATGGGAGGAGTCTTCACATTTTTCTTGTAATGTCTGTGTGATCTAAATGGGAGAAATCACCTTTGACATGTAGTTACTCATTTTAGCAAAATTCTTGTGGAAATTGTATTAGTAGTCTCAAAATAAAACACAAGCACTAAAATCACAGAGGCTACTGTTAACTTTTATTAATTTTTTAAAAACAATTTTATTTATTTATTTATTTATTTATTTATTTATTTATTTATTTATTTATGAGAGACACACAGAGAGAGGCAGAGACACAGGCAGAGGGAGAAGCAGGCTTCCTGCAGGGAGCTGGTGGTGGGACTCGATCCCAGGACGTCCCGGTCACGACCTGAGCCGAAGGCAGATGCTCAATCACTGAGCCACCGAGGTGCCCCTAATTTTTATTAACTCTAATTCGGGTTGGAGTTACTAAGCGCTTTCTGCATGCCAGGGACTGCGCTAATCTTCTTACATAGATGATCTCTCCTAAGAAGCACAACAGGCACTATTTTTATCACTTCACTACACAGTTAATTAGCTTGCTTTAGGGGTGACACCCTAGTCAGAGCTGAAGTTAGGATTTCAAGTAGGCAAACTGGCTCCACAGCCTGTGGGATGTAGCAGTCATCACAGAGTGACTGTAAGCTGAGGGGATGCTCTACATCTAACTCAGCACTCTGGAACCTTAGGGGGACGAAAACTTAGGCACAGTTCCTTCCCATTCCTCTAGCATTTCAACTAGATATGTGTGTCCCCACTTCCCTGACAGCTTAGACGCTAGACGGAAGACTTAAAATTGATGTTTGCAGTTCATCATAAGGAACCAGTAAGGTTCATTTTACAAAACAAAAGCCTGTTGTTACACTCAAATTATAACTTCATTCTTTTTAGTCTTTTTGCTTGTGATTTAAAAAATTTTTTATTTATTTAATTTTACTATTATTTTTTTATTGGAGTTCAATTTGCCAACATATAGCAAAACACCCAGTGGATTTTTTTTTTTTAAAGGTCACACTGGGGGCTCCAGGGTGGCTCAGCTGGTTAAGCATCTGCTTTTGGCTCAGGTCACGATCTCAGGGTCCTGGCATGAAGCCCCATTCAGCTTCGTGGCAGCAGCCGGGGAGTCTACTTCTCCCTCTGCCCTCACCCCCTACCCCCGCTCGTGCTCTCCCTATCTCTCAAATAAATAAATATATTTTTAGAAATCACATGGGTAACCTGCAACGATCTCGGAACCAAAAGGAACACGGGCTTTTTGTTTTGCTTACTCTACGGCCAGTTAGGTGCTACGTCGGTGCTAAAAACCCAGAATGTTAGGAAACAGATTAAGAGATGTAAAATCAAAGGCAGCCTGGGTGGCTCAGCGGTCTAGCACCTGCCTTCAGCTCAGGGAGTGATCCTGGGGACCCGGGATCGAGTCCCACGTCGGGCTCCCTGCATGGAGCCTGCTTCTCCCTCTGCCTATGTCTCTGTCTCTGTGTGTGTGTGTCTCATGAATAAATAAATAAAAATAATAATAAAAAAAAGAAATGGAAAATCAAAACGAGCCGAGAAGAGGTTGAGAAAGGACAAGTTTTGAGAAAGATAGGGAGAGGAAAAGTTAAGTGGGGGTGGGAGTGGGGAGCTAAGTTAGGCTGGAAAGGGAAAGGAAGGGGGTGGCGAGGGCGGGAGGAGGCTCTTCAGGTCAGAAGCAACCTACTTTCTTCCAAGCGCCCTCCCGGCCCCGGGTGGATCGACACGCTCCGATGCCTGACCTTGCAAACGTCCTCCAGCCGTTTCGCAGTCGTCCAGGACCTCCCAGCGACCCCGTTCCTACCGTCAGTTTTCACTGGCCGGAGCAGCTACAGCAGATACTTGGGGGAGTTTTCGGAGCTGCTGTCGCACACTCCGAAGCAGCCTTCCCGTTCCTGTTTCGGGGGGTGGGGGGTGGGGGGGCAAGATCGCCTACACGGTTGCCTGTAAGCACGTTCTTATCCCAGACCACCCCTCATCCCCGCTGCATCTTGACTTCCCTGGTGCCGGGGAGTCGACGCAGGCCGGGGACGCTGGGGCACGGCCTGGGGCTTTGCGTTCCCCTCAGGCAAGCCAAATACCGAAAAGCGAGAAGAGGGCGAGCGAGCCAAGGCTACCGGGAGCTGAGAGGTACAGACTGGATTAGAAGCGAGAGGGCGGCAGATGTGACAAACAGCTGCGGGCGGCGACCGACGAGCCCTCAGACCCAGCAGACCCAGCGACCGAGACTAAGAGCGACGCGTTACCACGACAACCGTGAAGTCTCGCGAGACTCGCAGTGAAGTCTCCCTGCGCCTGCGCGCTGCCGCGGTAGGGCGCAGCCCTGAGGCTCCCGGCCCGCGATCCCGGACTCTGGGTGTTTGTGGCTCGGGCCTTGGGCGCTGTGGGCCGACTCTCCCCATCGTGAGTGACAAGGGGGACGATGAGATGCGAAGCGGTCTGAGCCTGGGCGGGGGGGGGGGGGGGGGCGGGGCCAGAGAGGCGGGGGCTCTGCGCACGCGCGGCGCACGTGCAGGCGGCTGGGTTGTGGTCGTGAGTGGGAGCGGGGCGCGCCCCGGTGGGGTCCGGCTCGGGACGCGGGGTGGGCACGCGAGGTCCCCAGGTCTTCTCCGGGAGACCTGTCCGTCCGGCCAGGCCGCCCCAGCGCGACGGGGGCTACGTTCCGCCTCCGGGCCTGGGTTTCCTGTCCTCTCTCTGCCTGGGGTTGAGCATCTTAGGGCACGGGAAACGGCGAGATAAAGCCCCCCCTCGCCCCCCGGCCCCTCAGTGCTCCAGGCCTACAAGTGCGGGCGGATCCCTGTAGGACTGCGGTGTGCGGGCTAAATAGTGAAGGATGCGCGGTCCAGGCGGGCGGCAGGCCCGGGGAGGAGCTCGGGGACAGGAACGCAGCCTGCGGGCCCTGGGGCTGCCGTCCAACTCCCTTTTCTTTCTTTAATTTCTTTCTTTTTTTAAATTTTGTTTATTTATTCATGACAGACAGAGAGAGAAAGAGAGAGGCAGAGACACAGGCAGAGGGAGAAGCAGGCTCCATGCAGGGAGCCCGACGTGGGACTCGATCCCGGGACCCCAGGATCACGCGGTGCTAAACCGCTGAGCCACCCCGGGATCCCCCGGAAGGCATTTCTGAGTCCTTTGCTTCCTATTGATAGCTCCAAGCCGGGTAGGTGCCACCAGTTAACTCTTCCAACTGCATGTAATTTTGTCCCACTCCCCTCTGCGGCCACTCTCGTGCAAGCCACCATCGAGCCTACCCTGGGAACCTCTTTGCTCCTCCTTCCACTTCTGGCAAAGGAGTGGCCCCGGGGAATCCACAAGGATCGTTTTGCAGGGTCTTTCAAATCACGCTCGCTCTTGTGTCTCAAACGTTGCAGTTGCTTTCATTATGCGGTTTGCGGGACCTTCACCCTCTGGTCCTCGCCTCCCTTTCCTGATACCTCAGCATCTCTAGCATCTCTGCCCCAGCGGCTTGAACTTCCTTCATTTCGTTAATGTTGTTCCCTGGGGTACTCTTTCTGCTTCATGCCCCCTTTGGCGGGCACTCTTCAGATGCAGGGTTGAAAGGTCACTTTCTCCAGGACCTCTTTTCTCACCCCTTCAGCTAATTCATGCTTCTGCTGTTTCCTTAGTATCCTTAGAATTCCCAGACTTGAATGTGCACATCTTATACTATTACCTGCTCATTTGTTGTTTTCATGGATTCTAAGCTCTGTTGAGGCCAGTAACTGTTTTTACGCTAATACTTTATGGTTTGGTACATTGTGGATAATCCAGAAATACTTGCTGAAGAAGAAAGGTGGTTGTGGGGCCGAAGGTGGGAACGGTATTCCAGGCAGAGGGAATAATATGTATAAAGATGGGGAGGGGGGCAGCACTGGTGGCTCAGTGGTTTAGTGCCTGCCTTTAGCCCAGGGCGTGATCCTGGAGACCTGGGATGGAACCCCACATCGGGCTCCCTGCATGGAGCCTGCTTCTCCCTCTGCCTGTGTCTCTGCCTCTCTCTCTCTCCGTCTCTCATGAATAAATGAATAAAAATTAAAAAGATGGGGAGGGTAGAAATTGGTGGCCTCAATAAGCAGTAAGTGGGTGTAATGGTGGAAGAGGCTGGTGGGAGGTGAGAGCCAGTGCATGGGGGGTTTGTAGGTCACTTTAAAGGGTTTGCACTTGATCCCATAGGTGGTGAGTGCCTCCAAGACATAGCCCAAAAGGCACCTCAGCAAGGCCTTCATGTTTTTCTGCTCTAAAGCCATCCCTTCTCATCAGTATTTTGCTCTTGGATTATCTGGTGGAAGGTTCTGCTCTATCTGAACTACTTGGCTCTCGTCTCTCCCGCTAGATTCTGAGGACAAGAGTTCATGCCTCACTTGCTGTCTCTCCAGAGCACACAAGTATAAGTATTACTTAAGGATTTCAGCATCATGCTGCTTGGATGCTGAGGCACATGAGCTGACTTGCAGTTTGGCAAGAGCTCTGTTCAGTCGTATTTGTCTTGCTCGTCTTCCTGACCTTCAACCTGATGCCAGCCTCTACCAATCCTGAATGGATTTAGCTGGGCTGCTTCCTGACTCCCTCTGCTTGGGGGGAATGTGGAGAAAATGAGGGGGGGGGTGTCAGTGAGGATGGCTGTGCAGAGGGGCTGGTATGAAGGAAGCAGCTTGCACAGCAGGTACTGAGGCTCTGGCATCAAGGTCCTGAACAAGGTCCGACCCTCCCTGGAGGAGCTGAAGTTTGGATTTCTGTTACAAGAGGACTTAGGAGGAGCAGTGGAGACCAGTGGCAGTCAAGAGGCCATTTTTCATTTCTCAGGAGGCCTGTCCGGTGTCAAGGGGCAGCCTGTCCTATCCCAGCTATTCTAACCCTGTTCTGGATCAGAGTCATCTGGGCAGCTTTGACAAATACAGGTACCCTGGTCCTATTCCCAGGGATTCCAGTTCAGTACGTCCAGGATAAGGACCAACCACCTGTATGTTTTAAAAGGCAACAGGTTACTTTTGAGGTGCAGCCAGGATGGAAAGAGCATAAACTTTGTGTTTGGAAAATCAGTTGTGACTTTGGGCAAAGCATTTAACCCGAGGCTGTTCCTTCACCCACAGGTTGGCTGATTCTATAGGAATTTTGTGAGAATCACAATCATGCATGGAAAAAATGCCTTCTAAATTCTTACACACTCCCCCCAAATTCTGACACATTCCCCAAAGATAGCTGCTCTTCACCATCAGTAGCCAGCCTGGTGAGTGGAAGTTTAATTGGAGACCTTAATCCTTGATTGTGCATGTGGCATTTTGGGGAAGGTGGGCCCCAGTAGGATAAATGACCTGGAATGAGGGTCAGACCTCCTCCCTGCAGGGAGAAAAGCTGGTTATCTGAAAATAGGGACAGCCCTAGACTTCCAGGGGCCTGGCTCGTGTTACTTCCTTCTGTTTTGCTACAGAGGTCACTGTGGTTCTTAGCTGAGCACCAGGAAGAAGGGAAGAATAAAACTGAGGGAAGAGAAGTGCACTTGACCTGGGAAGAACAGCCAGGATACGGTCCCTTGATCAGTGGTTTTTAACATTTTCCCAAGAAGGATCCTTCTTAGTTTTAACGGACTAATATCAACTTTCATTACAAAGTTTCCCTACTTTTCATCAAGTTGCCAGCTGGAGAAGCAGTCGGCCTGGAGTAACTGTTAAGAAGAGGGAATCTGTGGGGCACCTGAGTGGCTCAGTGGTTGAACATCTGTCTGCTTTCAGCTCAGGTGGTGATCCTGGGGTCCTAGGATTGAGTCCTGCATTGGGCTCCTTGCAGGAAGCCTGCTTCTACTTCTGCCTCTGTCTCTGCTTCTCTCTTTGTGTCTCATGAATAAAATGACTAAAATATTTAAAAAGGGGGGGGGATCTATACCTGTGTATGTATGAGATGCTTAAGGAAGAAGCTTAGGGCCCAGGGAGGGAGGGAGAGTTGCAAAAAGTCTCAGAATTAAAGTATCATTTGGATTTTTAATCATAATGTTATCACTATTCGTTTCTTAAAAGCCACACCTGGTTAATTATGAATGGTAGAGGTTTCCGGGCCCTGGGTCCTTAGATCGTGAGCTCTGTGCAGGTGGACTTGTTCACTGCCGAACCCCAGTGACTAGAATACTGCATGCACACTGGAGACGCTTGGGGAGTGTTTGTAGGGTGGAAGCCTAACTGGAGACCAACTTAGCAAATGGTAACAAATCTGTAAGATTAATACCACACAGTCATTAAAAACAGAATCCTGAACAAGTAGAAACATGGAACATTTTTAATAAATGAAATAGAATTTCACGGTGACTGCAGTAATGCAAAACACTTATATATTGCCTGTATATGAATAAAGACCAAGTCGTGAAAAAATGGGGAAAATAAATTCCTTAATCTTAAGAGGTTCAGTGTGGTCACATAATTGGTTCTATATAATCAGGCTTGCTATTGTCTACCAAGAATCAGAGAAAGTACAAACAAGATATTCTGACATGCATTGTTAGTAACACAGATTTCACTTTGTCGTTTGCTTCTCTGTGAAAGATTTTCCAAATGGCTGCAGCTCCTCAAGCACCGGGGCGGGGTTCCATCCGGAAGACAAGACCTTTAACTGTAAAGACATCGTTAAACAACCCATATACTATCTGCTGGACTACTCTAGAGAGAGAAGACATGCACTTCATATTACAGACACTTCAAGACAGATTTAAATCTCTTGGGCTTCAGAAGATTGAGGATAAGAAGAGAAAGAAAAAGCAGTTTTTAAAAAAACAAAGCCCAGACAAATGTAGCACAGAAGTTGATATGAGCGAGGATCTGAAAGAGAAACAACCAGAAGATAATGAGCAAGGGTCAGGGTGGACTCCTGTGCTCGTCAGGAGGCAGCTTGCCATCGGTGTTAATGAAGTGACCAGAGCCCTGGAAAGGAATGGGCTGCTGCTGGTCCTCGTGTGTAAGTCAGCCAAGCCTGCCATCATCACCTCCCACCTGATTCAGTTGAGCTCCAGCAGATCAGTGCCTGCTTGTCAGGTTCCCCGTCTCAGTGAGACACTCGCACCTGTCATTGGCTTAAAATGTGTCCTGGCCTTGGGGTTCAGAAAGGACACCACGGCTTTTGTTGAGGAGGTAAAAGCCATAATTCCCCGAGTACCCAGTTTACATGTACCATGGCTGCATGGGCAGCCTAAAGAGGCCTGGGAAAATGTAGACACTGAATCTCTGGAAAGCCAGGACAAGGAGATTTTAGAAACTTCCTTTGAAGACCCCTCTAAACGTAAAAAGAAGCTTGTGGAAGGTCAGCAGGCTATAGTGTTACAACCCCTGAAAATAAAGAAAGTGATTCCAAACCCCAGTAAGATAAGGAAACCACCCAAAAGTAAAAAACCAACTTCAAAGTAATCTATAAACTTGTAGTTTCCTACAGCTGTAAAAAGACACTCTGTAAAGAAGCCTTAAAACGAATAAAATATGTTATTTTTATATATGTTCTCGGGATACTTTTTGTAATGTTCCTTCCTTAGGTGTAAGACTTTGTATAAATAGGCTGACACTTAAAAACACTAAGTGCAGAAAATATTCAAAAATATGAATATCAAAACAAAAGTTTATTGAAGCTAATTTCTATGCTTGTATAAATTCACTTTTTAAAAGGCTGGTACAGTGCTTGTAAGCAAGAAATTCTGTATCCTACAACACTTGACATCTTTCTATCAAACTTGGAAAATGTGCCACAGTAAACAGGTTCTAGTGAGTAATGCAGATGAAACTGGATTGCAGATTGATCAGTTTTAAAAGAAAGATACTAAACAAGCAATACATTCAGAATTTTTTTTTTACTGTTGATTTGATTTTCTTTGTTGGTAGGCATATGCATGAGCTTGGGAGAAAAGTGTTTATAGGAAAAACCCAGATACGTTATTGTGAATAGTTGAAATTCACCCCTTTGCATGGTTAACTCATCTCCTTGGAAATCCAGCATGGGTAAAAAGAATGCTGATAATTAGGTCAAATGAAGCAGGAAGAGAATGAGAAAACTGAGGAGCTTGAGGCCTCAGAGATGGGTTTGTGGAATGGCTGGGGTTCTTTATGTTAGGAAATGGAGCATAATCAATGCTCTATGTCTGTTAAAGCATCTGCTATTTACAGTATGTGTTCGGAGAGGTCCTTTAGTAATTTAGTGGGGAGGTACTGGATTGCTAAAATATATTTTCAGCCTAAATTCTGGCTGACTCTTGGGAATAGGCCACCTCTGTTCATTTAAATGTTACTGAATGCCATCTTGGCTAAAAAAAAGGTCAGGGAGGGAAAGCTACCTTCTGAAATAGAGCATTTCCACTGTTGACAAGGCAGGACAGTGTTTTTTTGAATCTGTAAGACAGTGTATATTGCAGTGGAATTTAGTTCTAATAACTATTTTATAAACACAAGCAATTTTACCAGTCTTCAGTTTTGAAATGTTCATCAGTAATCTGCCTAAATTACAAAGAGGGAAATAACGCTATTACTGTATTTAAAAGTGACTGTGGAAAGAATCTGAATTCTCTTACAACTAGAATTATGTAAACAAATGAAAAGTGCCCACAGTCTCATCACAAGGTGAGCTTGTGATAAAACTTCTGACTGGCAATTCGGCAATGATCTAAAAACCCACATCATCTAAGACTGCCGTAAAAATGAATGCAACAGAATTCTCAGCTAAACCCCTGACTCCAGATTAAGTTAAAATCCCATTTATTTCATTCTTGGTGTTTTGGTGAATTGGTTCAGTTTTGCTTCCGAGGCCACTCTCCTCCTGTTAAGAAAGAAGGTAAAGCGGTGGAGTCTGAATGGTCTTATATGAGAAGTCCTCTCTGGGTCCTCAGAAAGGTCAACTGTCCTAATCACGCACTACGGTGGGGTCCCCGCATGCCCTCTAGTGGTGGTCACAGCAGTGGGTTTGTCTTTAGGATGAGGGTAAGGAGGGTGCAGAGTGGCTTTCAGCTCTTTAGTGTAAGTCAGGGTCAACAATTTGTTGTTTTTTTTCTGTAAAGGGCCAGACAGTAAATATTTGAGGCCTTCTGGGCCACACAGTTCTGTCAGAATAACTCCGCTCTACCTTTTCCAGTGTGAAGCAGCCACAGGCAATTCGTAAGCAAGTGTGGCTGTGTTCCAATCAAACTATGGATACTGGGCAGCCCGGGTGGCTCAGTGGTTTAGCACTGCCTTCAGCCCAGGGCCTGATCCTGGAGACCCAGGATCGAGTCCCACGTCGGGCTCCCTGCATGGAGCCTGCTTCTCCCTCTGCCTGCATCTCTGCCTCTCTCTCATGAATAAATAAAATCTTAAAACAAACAAGCAAACAAACAAAAAAAACTACAGATACTGAGGGATGCCTGGGTGGCTTAGTGGTTGAGCATCTGCCTTCGGCTCAGGGTGTGATCCTGGATCTGGGGATCGAGTCCTGCATTGGGTTCCCCGCAGGGAGCCTGCTTCTCCTTCTGCCTGTGTCTCTGCCTCTGTGTGTCTCTAATGAAGAAATAAATAAAATCTTAAAAAAACAAAAGTTTATGCATACTGAAATCTGAATGTTCTATAATTTTCACATGTCACAAAATGTCATTACTTTGATTCCCCCCCCACACACACACCCAACAACCATTCAAAAATGTAAAAACTAAGCTTGTGGGCTGTACAAAAACAGGTGACAGGCTGGACTGAGCTCATGGGCCATAGTTTGCTAGCTGCTGCCTGACAGGAGATCTGACTGGTTTCATTTGACCACTTAGAACGTAAAGGAAAGGCCATCATGTTGTCTGAAATTAAGTTTTTCTGGACTGAAGAGCCTAGGCACTGGTATTATAAAGGCAGGGAGAAGTGTCTACTCTGGTTTTTGAGTCAAAGCCAGTTTCATGTGGCCTCGTTCAGCATGTTCTCCCCATTCCTTTGACTACTGGCAATATATACATATATATGTACACTGGGAAACCTGGGTTTTCAAGTTCTAGATAAAAACACCATCAGTAACAAAATTAGGAATACTTATTTACAAATAAGACATTTTCCATTAGCATGACAGCTTTCATGATAACTTAAAGTCAGCATAAAGGAATATGTGCAATTTTGCATAAGTAATAAAAACATTCAAACTATCGATGTCCTGATAGCACTAATAATTCCACTGAGCATTTCTTTTGACCTTAGAGCTTTTATTGTCTTTGCCTCACATCTCTTGCTGCCGCTGAGAAGACATGAATGTGTGTGGCAGCTGCAAAGTTGAGTCGGTCATGGGTGTGGACTCTCTGTACATATCTGCACACAAAATTTGAGTTTTGAACCAATCTACGGACCTGCTGAAGACCAAAGTACAAATATGTGTGTGTGTTTATTTGGCAATTCTGCTTCTGGAGAAAGAAATGTACTTACCAGTCAGCAGTACATTTTTATCTCCCTCTAAACTTAAACACCCACCTACTTGTCACCGAGCTACGGAAGTGCTGATTCCGTAAATGCTCCCAGTGACAGCGCGTAAGGTGACGGAAGCACCAATTTTCCAAATGGATCCTTCATTCTGTTACATGGACGAACAGACCAACACTTAATACATAGAAATGCAGGAGTTTATCTCCACGTAAGAGCAAAGACTTTCTTAACAATTCTGTGACTTCCGTCCAGTCCATAGAAAAACAGTCCCTTTTCTAGAGAGTGGAAAAATACCTTCTCTTCAGTGAGAGACAGCTAAAAGTCTGGAAATTAGAGGAATGTGTTCTCTCTACCTTTTCATCCCTTCTACAAATGGGTAAACAGTGAAAAAAAAGACTGTTAACATTCTAGCTAGAAATATGTACTATTGGTCACGTATGGGTGGTTTTTTTTCATCTTTTCTGATTGTTACCGACTACGCCGATTTCATTAAGTTGTGCTTTTATTCTTCTTTGGAATGGCAGTTCCAGGAATCATTAAATAGAGTATTAACAAGTGATGATGTCCGAGTTCTAGAAATAGAAATAATCCATCTATTGTAACACTAGTCCAACCTAAAGGGAGGGGAGAAACAGAATGGTAAGAACAGGTAAGCAAGAAAAAATAAGTTGTACCACAATGGCTCAGTATTTTTTAAAAGCTACTTAAAAACACCTTAATAGTCCTAAGGGCAACAAGCATGGGATTTCCTAGGTCTGTTTATTACGTTTATAAAGGGTGTGTATCCACGGCACTTACCTTTTCAGAATCTGTTCCTGGACACCTCCAGTTGTACAGGTAATACTGCAAGTTGCCATCTCCTATACCAAACTTGAGTTTTTCCAAGAAGGTTTTATTTTCCATTAAATCTAGTGCATTGAAAACATCAAATCCTTTCTGCCAGTGGAAAAAGAATTTCAAATTTTAACTGTCAAAGGACTGGAGTGTTTTCTACATTATATATTTCAGTATAACAATTCCTCTACTAATAGCTTGACTACACATTAATAAGGTTTAATGTCTATAGTCTATGTACAGGCTAAGAACTCAGTTTATTTATTTATTTTTTTTAAGAACTCAGTTTAAAACTGTCTTATAGGGGCACGTGGGGCTCAGTTGGTTAAGCATCTGCCTTCAGCTCAGGTCACGATTCCAGGGTCCTGAGATCAAGCCCCACACTGGGCTCCTTGCTTAGAGGGGAGTCTGCTTCTCCCTCTGTCTCTGCCACTCCCCTTCTTGTGCTCTTTCTCTCTGTGTCAAATAAATAAGTAAAATCTTTAAAAAAAACAAAACTGTCTTATAAAAACAGTGAGTCTGACAGAGTCAGGAAGATCACCCAAAAATTTCAAATCAAAATCTGTACTATGTTGGCTAACACTAATACAAAGTAATCTATTAGGATCTCAGAGAATATTTTATCCCTGTTTTAGAAGGAACATTTGGCCAGAAGTCTCCATCTCCAGAACTGTTAGTTATTGGCTTTTCAAAGTTCTGACTGAGCCACAGCTTTAAAGATTTTAAATGTGTACTTGTCTTGGGCTGATGCTGGGAAATAAATTTAGTGAAATTTTAATAGTAAAAATGGAATTTCTTGAAAATGTCAGGTAAAAATATTGTATAAAATGGGGTAACAGACAGATTTCTATTTCTCAGGCGTTTTACCTTAAGTAATTTATTACTGGCCTTTTTTGGAGGAAGTAGTTGAAAAAGAGCAAAAGAATCAAAGAATCAGAGGATAATGTTGATTTGGAGATCCAAGAGTAGTACTATGTTAAAAATTTTTTTTTTTCAGTTTTCAAAGAAGATACTTTTGATGTGTTGCTCACAATTTCTCATGAATAATATTTCCTCATGTTCAATAATTACATTGAAATAACAACTACAACTTCTTAAAGTTTATTTGTAGCAAGAATTTAACTACTACACCAAGAGAAAGATATTGCAAATATAGTACGACCCATTTTTTAATTTAATTCCTTTTATTTTAAACTCTTTAATTTTAAAAATAAAATTCAGAGACTATTTATATTTAGTTGAGTTCAAAACGGGTTATTGTTGCTGATTATTCACTGCCACCCAAACACGTATGTTCCTTATATCAAGGTACCATGTATTTTCTCTATATTCCTTGTATCACAGGTTTCATGCATTCTTCTATTAGAGCTAAAAGTTTCTACTTTGCACAAAATGTCTTTTTGGTTAAGTTGGAATAGAATCAATGATGTCAACAGTCTCTGAAGTTTTAAAAGAAACTCTTATAATTCTTCCTTTGACTGATGGTCAACAATAAAACATATCTCAAATGAATTGCACCTATGCGGGAGAAGATACAGTAAGAGGTTTTACATACTTTGGCACACATATGTGGAGAAACACACAGGACAAAAAGGATGAGTCGCTTACCAACTTGGCTATGATGAGCGCATCACTCATGAGGTCCAGCAGGGGAGTCTCCGTGTGAATGTTGTAGAAGGAGTAGGCGGCTTTGAGGCTCTTGTGAGCAGGGTGGTGAATGACCGTGGAGGGGAGCGTGTAGAAGCTCAGGAAGTCAGTTAGTTTACCACTGGAGTTCTAAAGGACAAAGGTCAGGTCAGGTCAATACCTTCCGAAACAAACTGCATCCATGCATTTCAGCTCGCTTCTTAATTTTTGACTTGTACCGTAACTTTCTGTTAGAACAAAAAGCAACAGCTCCTACCTCTCTCTTGGCAGTCTGGAGTGGGGAGGGGGGCCCTTGGGATACATTGGGTAGAGCCTGAGAAGAGCATGGAGTTGTACTTTTCTTAGCCTAGCGCTAGCTGGCAGTTTGCATAATGTTCTTAAGAAGCAGAATGTTCTGAAAGGAAAGTTCTCCCTTAGCCTGACTAATGAGTCTCTCTAGACCTATAGAACAGGGATGAAAGTGGAGTCACTGTTTTTGCAGAAACAAGAGCTCCAGGGATTAGAACGCTGCCATCTCCAACTAAAAGATACTATATCACAATAACATCTTAGCACAAAGCCAGAATTCTATCAGCATAAAGTGAAGTTGGATAAAATCTGGAAGCCGTTTCGAGAAACTTGTGAAAGGCATCAGTACTGCCAACATGCACCTGTGAGTCTGAAGTTACCAAAAATCAAAAGAGATGCAAACGAGGTCTTGGTTTCATCATTGCTGGGACACCTTTCAATACAAGAAGTGAGTCAGTATTGTTTGGGTTGCTTCAATTAGCTGTGGTGGCCTATGCAGTCGGCCTACAACTCAAACTATGATCTGCCTGAATTATACAGCTGAAGAGGCTATACCCCAAGTATGCTCTTGCTAATATTTCTTTCAGCAGAAAAGAAAATTCTATATGGATGCATTATCCAGTTTTTGAATGCTCCTGATTTACAAAACCTTTTTCCCCCCCAGACACTGAGGAATTCACATTTCACTAAAGTGATTTTCTACTGCTCTGTATTAGCAGCTTTAGTATTTGAGATGAATTAAAGACCTAAACATTCAGTATCAATAAGGATGTTCAACTCAAAAAATTGAAACTGAAAAATAAAACTCACTGGATGGACTCAGGAGTGGAGTGGAGAGGACAGATGACAGAAATCATTGCACTTGAAGAATTCAGTAGAATTTACCCAGTCTGAACAAAAGAGAGAAAAGAAACTGGAAAAAAAAATGAATTAAGTCTCAGGGATCTGTGGGACAGTAACAAAAGATGCAGACACTCCTATCACTGGAGTCCCAGAAGATAAAGAGAAATGTGGGGACTGTGAAAGCGGACGAAATAATGAGTGAAAGACAGATCTGGCAAAACATACACAAGAGAATTAAGAAGCTGAGCGAACCTTAACAGGAAAAACCCAAAGATGTCTACTCCAAGATGCATCGTAATTAAAGTTCTGAAAACTAAAGATGAAAGCCTTCAAAGTAGTCACAGAGAAACAAGGCGTTACCAATAGAATACCAATTCAAATGACAGCGTATTTCTCACCTGAAACCACAGAGGCCAGAAGGAAGTGGCACATTTTTTTTTCTTTTAAAGTAGGCTGCATGCCCAGTGCGGAACCCAATGCGGGGCCTGAACTAAGGATCCAGAGATCAAGACCTCAGCTGAGATCAAGAGTTGGATGGTTAAACTGTCTGACCACTCAGGTGCCCAGTGGCACATTTTTTAAAATTAATAATTTATTTGAGAGAGTGAGAGAGTGAGCGAGCGCAAGCAAATGCTCATAAGTGGGGGGAGGAACAGAGGGAGAGAATCTCAAGCAGACTCTGTGCTGAGTGCAAAGCTCCACATGGGGCTCCATCTCATGACCTGAGAACATGACCTGAACTGAACCTTAACCAACTGTGCCCCCCAGGTGCTGCAGAGAGGCACAATATTTTAAGTGCTGAAGGAAGAGAACAATCAGCCATGAATTCTGCATCTGGTGAAACGGTCCTTCAGGAATGAAGGAGAAATGAGAAATAAGGACATTCTCAAACAAATGGGAACTAAAGGAATCTGTGGCTAGCAAACATACCTTTAAGACTGGCCAAAGGACATTCTCCAAATAGAAATGCAATAATAATACAACGAATCTTAGAGTGTCAGGAAGAAGGAACATTAGAGCAGGAATCTTGATACATGCTCTAAACTATCCTCAGAAGTTTTACAAATCTACTTAATGACTGAAACACAAGGTCTAACACCATCTGATACTCGACAATTTTTAAAAGTCAAGAAGATAAAGGGATCTGATGGAAGTAAGGTCACCTGAAGTGGTAAAATGTTGATACCAGTTGGCTGTGATAAGTCACATATTCCTATATACAGGAATACTCGGTGCAACCATCATGCAAACTATACAAATACACCCAAATGCACCATAAACACATCAAGACAGAGAATCCTAAAGAAATAGTCAAGTAGCCCCCAGGAAGGCAAGGAAAAAGAAACAAGAGGACTAAGAACCAGAGGAAACAAAGAGAAAACCAATAATAAAATGGCAGATTTAAGCTCTAGCCTATCAGTAATTATCAAATTAATGGCCTAAATACACTAATCAAAAGAAAAACTGGTGGAGTGGATAAAGAAACATGGTTCATCTACAAGCCATTTATAAGAAACTTTTGGGTTCAATGATGTAGATAAGCTGAAAGTAAAAGGGCTGTGAAAGTAAAATTAATGCAAACATTAATTTTAAAGTAGTAGGAGTGACAGGGCACCTGGGTGGCACAGCTGGTCAAGCATCTCTGACTCTTGGTTTAGGCTCAGGTCGTGATATTGAGCCCCACATGGGGCTCAAGGCAGAGTCTGCCTAAGTTTCTCTCTCTTTCTCCCCTACTGTATGCACACATGTACTCTTTTTCTCTCTCTCTCTAAAATAAATAAATAAATCTTTAAAATAGTAGGAGTGACTATATTTATATCCAATAAAGTAGACTTTATAGCAAAGAAATTACTAGAGACAAAGCGGAGTATTACATGCTGGTACAAAGATGGATCCCCTGAGAAGATACAAAGGTCCTAAATGTATAAGTACCAAACAAGACCATCAAAATACATCAAAAAAACCTTAGAGAGGTGGAAGGAGAAATAGACAAGTCCAAAGTCATAGTTGGGGACTCTCATCAACTGACAGAGCTGCTAGAAAGAAAATCATCAAGGAGGCAGAAAATCTGAGTACAATAAGACGTAAATGACATATATAGAATGCTCCACCTGAAAAGAGATTATACATTTCACACACCTTCTCCAAAACAGACCATATGGGCTTAAAATAAATCTCAAGAAGCTTAATAGAGCTGAAATCATACAGTGTCTTCTCCAACCATCATGGAATGAAACTAGAAGTCAACAGGAAATCTCTGAGCAGGTCAAAGTTGACAACAGAATTCTAAGGAATCCAAGGCTCAAAGGAGAAGTTTCAAAAGAAATTAAAAAACAAAACAAAACAAAACAGGGGCGCCTGGGTGGCTCAGTTAGTTAAACTGACCTTTGGGTCAGGTCATGATCTCAGGGTCCTGGGATCGAGTCCTACATTAGGCTCTTTGCTCTGCGGGGAGTCTTTCTCCTTCTCCCTCTGCCCCTCTGCTCATGTGCACTCTGTCTCTCAAATAAATAAAATCTTTAAAAATAAATAAACACATGCATATATACATACATACATAGAACCAAATGAAAATACGACATACCAAAATCTGTAGGATGAAGCTAGAGCAGTGCAGGGAAGGACATTTACAGAACTATATGCTTATATCGTAACAGGAAAGTGGGGAGTCTGCTTCTCCCTCTGCTCCTCCCCCTGGCTTATGCTCATTCTCTCTCTCCCAAAAATAAATAAATAAAATCTTAAAAAAAAAAAAAGACTTAGAACTACAGTAACCAAGACAGAGTGGTATTGGTGGAGGAACAGACACCAGAGATCCAGTGGAACAGAAGAGAGAACCCAGAAATAGCGCACAATACAAATATCAGTATTCAACATATGGAAGAACCAATAGAAATCAAGAAGATTACAGTTAAAAAGAAAAAGAGGCAAATATATGATTGGCATAAAATGGCTAACAGCTTTATGAGATGATGTTCAAATTCTTTACTAATAAGAACATACAAATGAAAAACAATATTATCATTTGATACCCATTAGAGTGGCCTAAATTTAAAGTCTGATGATAACCAAATGTTAGTGAGGACACACTCTGCCAAGAGATACTTTGGTGAGCTCTATGGCCAGCTCTAAGTAACGTCAGCAATGCGTCTGATCCTCAGCCTCAGCAGTTCACCCTGAGTATAGACACTAGGGCAGCAGTTCTCAAAATGTGGTCTGTGAACCCCGGGGGGTATCTGAGACCCCTCCAGAAGTCTGAGACATCAAAATGATTTTCATACCAGCACTACCAGGTTATTTGCCTTGCTCACCACGTGGACATCTGCATGAAGATGGCAGAAGCAATGGTGTATACCTGGTGGTCTTTTTATTCTTTACCACCACACCCTCATGGATTAAAAAAAAAAAGGTTCCACTTAAGCATGTCCTTGATTAAGAATTATTTTTTTTATTAAGAATTATTAACTGTACTAACTCGACACTCCAGAGCTCATCCTTTTCACATCTTGTGTGATGCCACGGAAGGACACATGCACAGAGCACTTCTTTGCATACTGAATCATAAAGGTTGTCTCAGAGAAGCCCATCGGTGATGGAGCTGGGAGCTGAACTAGCCACTTTTTTCAGAGAACACCACTTCAAAATAGGACTAGCATACTACGGTCATTCAGACTTGGGTATCTGGCACATCTTGAAAATCAGTGATGTGAGTCTATCACTTCAAGGAAAATATTGGCGGGATTTGTTGCCACTGATAAAATTTGAGCTTTCAGGGTGCAATTTAAAGTATCCTCCACCATGAACTATATTATATACTTTTTTGAGGACAATGGTTGGAATATCAATGAATGAGACTTTTTGATCTTATATATGAACTGTTAATATCTGGAAGATCTTTCTAGCTCAATGAGCCGTTATTTTCCAAATGACTGATATATGTTACAGACTCATTCACTGGTAAAGGAATAATGAAAGGACCAGACAGACAATGGATTTTAATCTAACAGGGTACGGAAAATTCACTAAATATGCTTTCAGATTGGGAATACTCAAAATGATCTGAATAGCTACTAATATACGTGTTCTTTTCCGTATCTTCAAGACTTCACGTGAAGGATTTTTTTTTTCACGTGCTTCAACCAAAATAATATATCACAACAGACAGAATGCAGGGGTAGATATGTGAGCCCAGCTGTCTTCTAGTAAGTCAGACATTAAAGAGATTTGCAAAAATGTAAAACATGCCATACTTCATTTTGTTGCTTTGGAAAAGTTATTTTTCATAAAAAACGTTATTTAGGTAATCTGTTTATTATTGTTATATTGTTATTAAAGGAAATAATACATATATTTTCAATTATTTATTATTTTTTAAAACTGAAATACAATTGACATATAACATTACTTTCACATGTGTAAGTTAATGATTCAATATTTGTATATATTGCAAAATGATCATAATAAGCTTAGTTAAAATCCATTACTGCATGTAGTAACAATTTTTTTTCTTGTGTTAAGAACTTTTAAGGTCTGCACTCTTAGCAACTTTCAAATATGCGACACAGTCTTAACTATAGTCACCATCTGTACATTGTATCCCCGTGACTTTTTTATAACTTAAAACTTATACCTTGTGATCCTCCCTCTTCAATCATTTCTCCCACCCCTACAGCAAAACTGTCAATCTGTTTTCTGCATCTGTGATTTTTGGTTTCTTCTGATTCTACATATAAGTGAGATCATACAGTATTTGGCTTTCCCTACCTGATTTATAAAATAGTAATATTAAAAATTTTTGTTTCAGTTTTCAATGTAATAAGTATCTGTAAATATAATCCAAATAATAAAAGCTCTTTGGGGTCCTTAATAATTCTTAAGAAGGTGAAGGAGTCCTGAGATGAAAAACTGCTGCCCTGGAGAAACTTACAAGTGCATAAAGATTTGTGCTTTAAGATGTGCACTCTAGCGCTGTTCTAGTAATAAGAGCTTGAAAACAAAGACTGCCCAGGAACGTCCTCGGAATTCACTGTGTCTGTTCTACCATTTCTGCCCTAACTTGGCTGTCATCCTATATCCAGACTGATGCCTGACAATGTTGAAAAGGCACTTACAGCTCAGTGCTCACAATAAATGGTGAATGGACTATCGGAACTCCCACACGGCCTCCTCACTCTCTCTCTCCCCAGGTACTTACCAGGTTTAATCTCAACTTTTGAACCCAATCCCACTTCAGTCTAAAGAGCCTCTATGTGTAAAACCATTTGAACAACAAATGTCAAGCTTTTTTTCTTTTAAAGGCTTAAGAAGCACTATGCTAAATTCATCCAATCAATAATCAGAAAATCTAGACTGTTGTTTCTCCTTCCTTCCCCTGAACTAGGGTTGAGTGGCTGAGTTGTGCCATCTCAACTGAAAGCCGTTCTGTTCAAACCAGCTTCATGAAATACCCAAGGATATTAAGCTCTGGAAAGCATCTGCCTCAGATAAGGCCATCCCAATCCAGCCTTCTCAAAACCTCACCAAGCAATTAGTCACCTCGGTACCAACACAAAAGTATCCTAATTTCCCACGAATAACTAGCAAAAACTGTTCTTCTCTGGGGATGGGAACCATAAGAAGAAATTCTGGTTCTATCGGGGCGAGCAGAGAGATCTGGTTTGGAAGTAGCATCCCAGAGACAGAGGAAAAGGCTGGGGCCCTCTCTGATTCTTCCAGAAAACAGACTCAACCTCAGGGCAGTCTTGTACTTCTGTGTGGTGTCTTAGCACCTCCTCTTTACCTCCACGACAAACGTGTCAATAATGTGCTCCTGGGGGAGGAACCAGTGAGCTACTTCCTCTTCATCCATCACCGGGGCGAGGTGAAACCGCTTCAGGTAAGTGTTGGTCAGGTCTCGAACTGCTCTGACGTCCCTGGGTTCCATGGGTCTCAGGCCCGACGTCTTGGTAGCCTTGTTGTGGTGAAAACAAAATAAAGTGGGAAGGTGACCTCTGTCATAAGAGGGAAAGGCAGGCCAGCAGTGTGGCCGTCCCCTGGGGAGGGGTGGGGGGGCTTGTGAGCCCTGCCAAATCCTGGCTTCCCCTCCTCTTCTCCAACCTCCCAGGTCAGGATCTGCAATGTCACAAGAGTCCCCAGGGAGCTGTTGACACATTAAGATGAAAAGCACTGAGGCAGAGTATATTAGACAACGTGTGGAACCTTCTATCTGTGTGCTGGGTCAGTGGTCAGCACTGCCCACAGCGCTGCTGCTCCGACCGAGTCAGGGCGCACACCGATCTACGTACCGAAGTCAAGAATGTTCACAGCCTCCACTGCAGGGCCAAACGATCTTAGCGTGTGTTCTGGAATGATGTGCATTACAAGTGCCCTGACATGTTGAAGATGCAGGTGAAAACGGCTGAGAAACTTATTTTATTCAATGGCTCGTGAAGAGTCTGTGGCTAGGGACGCCTGGGTGGCTCAGTGGTTGAGCATCTGCTTTCAGCTCAGGTTGTGATCCTGGGATCCGGGATCGGGTCCCACACTGGGCTCCTCGCAGGGAGCCTGCTTCTCCCTCTGCCTATGTCTCTGCCTCTTTCCCTCTGTGTCCCTCATGAATAAGTAAATAAAATCCTTAAGGAAAAAAAAGAGGCTATAGCTATGTTGGTCTTGTGAGCAACAAAAATGACATAAAAGTAAATCATGTTGTTCTGAGTGGGGAGGACAAGCATTGTAACAGCCAAGTATTTTCTAAAGGGTAATGGCTAGCTTGCCGAGTACTGGCCCCTGGCTTCTCATGCTATCTTTTGATTTAAAAAGTTGATTCGAACATTCAAATCCGTCATTTCAGAGCATAACAATTTCTATGGTATTCTACGAGGACCAGAATAACCTAAAGGTCAGGACAGGTCCCCATGAGGATTTGTTCAACTGTGTCCTCAAAAGAGTTCCGGATATCACTCAGCTACACAAGAACTGCCCAAAAACCAGGACACTTGAGCCAAGAAGTGAGAAAACCCACTAGAAGTGCTTGTTTGTACAAAATATTAAAAACTTAGCAATACAGTTCCATTTTTCTAGTTAGCTTTATTTTTTCCATAAAAATAGTGGATACATTTTAAGTGTTAAGTAACTTGTATATAAATACTTCTCCTTTACCTTTTATATGTTATTTTTAAATACTTTAAAATTAAATACTGCCTCTATACATAGATCATTACAGTTCCTGCATGCCCCTAGACTAGTAGCATTCCAAGGTGGAAAACAGGTATCATCCTGAGTGCTGGCTCTGGTCCATTTTAGTGGCTGTGCTGAGGTCCCTAGGGATCCGTGACCAAGAATGGTGATCATTGAGTGGTGGGGGTACTGAGGGATAGATTTGTTCTTTGTATTTACAGATCCAAATGTCCTTACTATGTGCCTTTCTGTTATGACTTATGTAAGCTATAAAGATGTGGTAATGCAGCTAAAATACAGTTTAGGAGACCACATTGAGAGAAGGTAAGCCCTTAACACACATTTATTTATTTATTAAAGATTTTACTTATTTATTCATGAGAGACAAAGAGAGAGAGAAGCACAGACATAGGCAAAGGGAGAAGCAGGCTCCTTGCAGGGAGCCCGATGTGGAACTCGATCCCAGGACCCCAGGATCATGACCTGAACTGAAGGCAGATGCTCAGCCACCCAGGTGTCCCAGCTCTTAACATTTAATAGAGAACTTGTACTTTTAGCCTTTATGTGGATCACAAAGCCAAAGGACAAGAAATGTCGAGGTCCTTGCTTCCACCCAAGGCTTAACCTCTCAAGCAAGCATGGCAATAACAGCCCAAATGTGCTAAATGAATGAATGAATGAATGAATGAATTCCTATGTTTTGAGGCACAGTCATTTACTCAGTAAGGGTGGTGAAGGCTACAGACAGGAAAAAAAGTCACTGTCGGCTCTGCAAAGATGATACTGCTTGGGCCTGGCACTTAGGTGTAAGCCAGGTGTAAAATTCTTTTTTTCCATTTCCCCTGAGCCAATTTTAGTATTTGGTAGCATTTCTATACTGCAAATTCATGGCAAGATGGAACCTATGTGATTTCCAAATACAATGTAATAAACATACATCTCCAAATGCTAACAGGAAAACCAGACTATATATACACAAAGAATGTATTGAAAAAGTCATTTACAAAAATGATTTTCTGCCATGAGGATGACCTCAATAAAGTTTTAAGTAGCCATGCCCCAATATTAAACTGCTTTTTCTTTTACTAGTTCAGTAATGACAATATCAAGCAATTAGATTCATTAATGAAAGCTACAGGACATGTGCAACTGTTAAGCAGATGTTCAGATATAAAGAACAAGCTTGCCAACTTCCTAGACACAGTCCTCTGCAGTACAATTCTCCTTCACTATTTATGCCACAGAATCGCTAAAATCAACATCTTTTGTCTGGCAGACACCCTTAATGCAGCAGTTCCCAATAATTTTTGTCTGAGACCCCTTTACCCTCTTTTTTCTTTTTTTAAGATTTTATTTATTTTTGAGAGAGGCAGAGACATAGGCAGAGGGAGAAGCAGGATCCCTGTGGGGAGCCCGACGTGGGACTTGATCTCAGGACCTGAGGATCATGCCCTGAGCCAGAGGCAGATGCTCAACCACTGAGCTACTCAGGTGCCTCCTTTACCCACTTAAACACTGAGTATTCCAAGAAAGTTTTGCTTATGAGGGTTATATCCACCCACCTCTATTGTATTAGAAATTAAAACTGGGGATCCCTGGGTGGCTCAGTGGTTTAGCGCCTGCCTTTGGCCCAGGGCGTGATCCTGGAGACCTGGGATCGAGTCCCATGTCGGGCTCCCTGCATGGATCCTGCTTCTCCCTCTGCCTATGTCTCTGTCTCTCTCTCTCTCTCTGTGTCTCTCATGAATAAATAAATGAAATCTTAAAAAAAAAAAATTAAAACTAACAAAATTTTAAAATAAAAAAAATACAGAAGCACACATTCCGTAAGGCCTCTCTGGTAATCTTCACAGTACATTTGTAGGGTAATTAAAGCAAAAAATGCATTTTCTGTTTCGCTATTATCATAAAAATCGTGTTGATGTCAAAACATGTTGATGCCCCCTGGAGTGGACCTGAGGACCTCCAGGGGTCCCAGGCCCGACTCTGAGATCTGCTGTGCCAGGTCTCCAAAGGTCAGAACGGGTCATAGAAGTGGAATACAAAAAACTCTGAAACAGTATGTTTAGGCCAACAGGCAAAGACAAAGTGCACCAGGCAATTTATAAGCACTTCAAGTACCTTTTTTTTTTTTTTAAAGAGAACATCAGAGTGTATCAGCTATTAAAAAAAAAAGAGAGAAAAAAAAAAGCAAGATCGCAGAAAACTGGGAGAATATTGAATATTAACTTTTGCTAACTCACAATGGCCATGTGTCTCAGGGCCTTCAACTTGCTACTTTCTAACATCACAAAGTCACACATTCTCCAAGAACATTGATAAGAATGAAATAAAAGTTAAGATGTAAAATAAACCTTCAAATATAAGTTGGGGTCTTCAGAAAGAGGTGGGGAGAAGGTTAAGCCCAGAATTTAAAAAAAAAAAAAAAAAAAGGGATGTTCTGGCAAAACCCAAATAAGAAAGGTGGTTTCCAGAGAATTCAATAAAAACAAAAAGACATTTCCAGCGATTGAGGCAATCTTACATTTCAGAAGCAAACTCTATCATCTCAGCCAGGCACACTTTCCCAGGGTCCCGCCGGCATGTATTACTCGCTGGACTCTGTACATTGAATTATGTGTAAAATCTGCTTATCAGTGCATGCGGGGGAAAAAAGGCTCAGAGCTGTATTAAAAAACAGAAGCTGTGTTGTTCTCTGTCAAACTATGTGGTGTAAACTATCCTAGAGCCAAGATTCCAGAGTGGAGATGTAAGCAATGATTATGGGTATTTGATTTAAAAAGGAGTTGACTAAGACGCTAAACACTGAAAAAAGCATCTACTGCAACTAAATGTAGAAAGAACACCATGTGTCTTCACAAGTGTGTCCTTCCTGCAAAGCCGTGGAAAAATAGCGGGAGATTAACCTGAGTCGGGTTTTTTGCCTACTTTAAATTCCTGCACCTTTAAGCCCACTGAGAAAAATAATAAATAAAATAAATAAAAATAAATTTAAAAAAATAATCCAACTTTGTTTGAAAATGCTCAATAGCAAATGAAAAACAAATCGATGCTTACAAGGTAGGGAAAGGCATTACTCTCAGGAAGACCTCCGCATTGCAGGTGGCAGAGGCCAGGGGCCTAGGCCCTGGGTGGTTCTCTCCTAACTAGAAGACGACCTGCCCTCCTGTGACAGTCCTGCCCTCCCTGCGTCATAGTTGAGACTACAGGTGTTCAGTGTTTAGGCCATCATAACGTCAGCTCTTATATTCAGAAGTCCACAAACAAGACATAAAGCAGAAACAGTGAAAAAAAGGAAAAAAAAAAAAAAGAAAGTGATGATAAGAAGAGACTGACCCAAAGAGCAAAAGTTGTGTTCAGTAAGGTTCTTCTTACACTTAATGGGACAAAAATGTTCCTAAATCACATAACTGCCAGCAGCGATATCACCTACCTGGGTCCCTATAGGGGAGGCCATGGTCTAGTATATGCTGCATTGTCCAGCTTCTTTTTTTTTAAGATTTTATTTGTAAGGGGCGCCTGGGTGGCTCAGTTGGTTAAGCGTTTGCCTTCGGCTCAGGTCATGATCTCAGGGTCCTGGGATCGAGTCCTGCATCAGGCTCCCTGCTCAGCCAGGAGTCTGCTTCTCCCTCTCCTTCTGCCTCTCCCTTCTCCACCGTCCCTGCCCCACCCCCTCATGCTCTCTCTCAAATAAATAAAAAATATATTTTTTAAAAAAGGGATTTTATTTCTAAGTAATCTCTACACCTCCATAGAGTCCAAACTCACAACCCCGATATCAGGAGTCGCATGCCATACCGACTGCGCCAGCCAGGCGACCCTGCACTGTCTGTCCGGTTTCTAACTCATGGGGCAGACTCCCAGGTGCCTTCTGATTTTCTAATATCTGTACTCACATCTCTTCTACCCTTTTTCTTCATTATCTTACTCTTTATTTTTCTCTCCTTCCCCAGGACTTAAAAGCAGGGAGGAAGACTGGAACATACCAGTGAGCACTATTCGGACCCTGATGATCTGCTTTCCTGTGTGTTTACCTATGCTCTAGTGACCCATGGTGAGACACCCGGGGGGACCAGGCCACGCTGCCCCCCCACCACCCAGGGGTGTGTGAGAGGTCATGGCAGGAACAAAGGGATATAACGGGGTAAAACATAGATGTCTGGGGCATGCATCCCAAGTACCCTCTGATTAGTGACAGACCCGTGTCTAAGTGTCAACCTGCATGAGTCTTGATCTTTTCATCTGCAAAATGCAGCAAAGGACACACCAGCTTTGAACGGTTGTTGTGGGAATAACATGAATATATATATATATATATATATATATATATATATATATATAAGAGCACTTCGTGAACTTCACTATATTAGGGGAAAAAATCTGGATGCTGGACCAGTGGTTTAGGATCGATTTGTTAATAACACTCTCTTACCTGAGTTGATTTTTTGTATAAAAACATAAAAGATGAGGGACAAAGTAAAAAAATACTCCTAACAGCTTAAATTCTGATCACCCTGAATAAACCAATGACAGGTATTAAAACTCCTTCATCCCATTTTAGGCAATTTACATGGAAGTGGGTGCTTTCCTTACATGCATGCTGCATGGCTTTATAGGCTCGATGAACTGAAATTTGGGGTGACCACAGGAGAACAGCATTAGCCCCTAGTGAAAAAAGTCTGCATGCCTGAAGTTTTTAATTTCCACTCCTGGGTGTGCCTGGGTGGCTCAGTTGGTTGGGCCTCTGCCTCCGACTCAGGTCATGATCTCAGGGTCCAGGGATCGAGTCCCGCATCGGGCTCCCTGTTCAGCGGGGAATCTGCTTCTCCCTCTCCCTCTGCCCTTCCCCTGCTCCTGCTCACTTGCTCTCTTTCTCTCAAATAAATAAAATTTTGAAAAAAAAAAAAACAAAAACCCAGTATCCCTCATGCATGTCAAAGTCTTTAACAGTTGGGCTTATTCCGGAGCCTGCAGAGGGGGTGTCTCACTGTCGCTGTGTCTCATGCCCCCTTCTGCTCACTACTGCATATCCCTCTATATGACTGTCCTCCTTGGGTCACTCTGGGTCTTGGCCCCTAGCCTCAGAAGAATCCTGGCCAGTCACTATTAACTCATGTTGACAGTATAACTCCTCTACACATCTTCCAAGCCTCCCTTTCAGAGCACCCATCTCCACCCGCCTACCTTCACTCCTGCCGCTCCAGCACAACAGTCTGGCTCCCCAACCCCCAGGTCATGTGGACCCTCCTCTGTCATGCTGCCTGCGGTTTGCATTTCCCTCTCTTCTGGTCTCTGTTCCCCTCCCTCCTTGGCCTCAGAGGCAGTGAGTTCATTATTCTGAGCCCCACAGTCTGCAACAACAGTTAAGACCGAAGGGAAGAACAGGCCTCCGCCTAGTGATCCTTCCATAAGGTTGCAAAGCTCCGGAATGATGATGCTGGGATCTCATGTCTGGTTTCCTTCGCCTCCACTTTTTTCCTTATGAAATTTTGCCTAAGGTCAGAAATTAGCTGATTCCCGTCTGTCATCAGAAAAAAAATACATTGATTCATGTCGCCACCACTGAATTACACGTACCCAGTAAACACACAGCCAGAACTGTGTCTACTACACCTAGAAAGGCCACTACAGGTGAAGCTCTCCCCATGTTAGAAAGGAACACGGGCGTCATTCCACTTGAAGCTCTCAATCAAGTTAAAATAGTCACTTCTTTCTGACAACCCAAAAGAAAGAATAGCTCTGGTGAAACAAAAACTTCGAATGGAAGATCCCATCTGTGGCAGACAGATTCTAAGACAGTCCCCAGTGATGCTGCCTCCTGGTTATTAGCCCACCCTTGTGCTTCTCCTGAGTGTGGGTGGAACTTGTGACTTGCTTCTAACCAGTGAAGCTAACACAGCAAGAGTGACTGGATGTCCCTTCAAGTACTGATTACATAAGGTTTTAACTTCCACTTTGCTAGCAGATTCTGTCTATAGACTCACTTCCTCACTGGCTTTGATGAAGCAAGCTTCTGCACTGTCAGCTGCTGCCATGTGGGGAATCTCTCACCTGGCGAAGAACAGACGGAGGCCTCAGGCTGACAGCCAGCAAAGAATGAAAGCTCTCAATGCAACTGTCAGCAAACACTCAAGTCTGCTAATAGCCGTGTGAGTTGGAGAGGACCCATCCCCAGTCAAGTGTTCAGATGAGACCTAGCCCCTGTGGATACTTTGATGGCAACGTCATGAGAGACCCCTGGGGCAGAGGCCCCAGGCAAGCTAGGCTTCGATTCCTGACCCATAGAACTTGAGAGATAACAAACGTGTGTTTAAAACCACTAAATTTGCCGTAATCTGTCACACAGCAATAGATTAATCTATTAGTTAATCTATACACCATCTTAAGCCTCAAATAAAAGCAACACTGGTAAACACCTTTAGCTATTCCCCTTTAAGAGACAACTTATCATGTTGGGAATCTGCCAGTTTATATTTATTTATTTATTTATTTATTTATTTATTTATTTATTTATTTATTTTTTAATCTGCCAGTTTAAAAAGGTAATTTTTTGTAGGGTGCGCTTGGGTGGCTTAGTTGGATAAGCGTCTGCCTTTGGCTCAGGTCATGATCTCAGGGTCCTGGGATCCAGCCCTGCATCGGGCTCCCTGCAGAGGGGAGTCTGCTTCTCCTTCTCCCTCTCCCTCTGCCTCTCCCCCTGTTTCATGCTGTCTCTCTAATAAATAAATAAAAACTTTAATGAAAAGATATAGCAGCACCTGGGTGGATCCGCTGACTAATCATCTGCCTTCAGCCTAGGTCATAATCTCAGGGTCCTCAAACCCTAGCCCTCAATCAAACCCTAGTTCAAGCTCCCTGCTCAGCAGGGAGTCTGCTTCTCCCTTTCCTTCTGCCCCTTCCCTCCATTCATGTTTTCTCTCTCTCAAATAAATAAAATCTTTAAAAAAGATATATATTTTAGGGATCCCTGGGTGGCGCAGTGGTTTGGCGCCTGCCTTTGGCCCGGGGCGCGATCCTGGAGACCCGGGATCGAATCCCACGTTGGACTCCCGGTGCATGGAGCCTGCTTCTCCCTCTGCCTATGTCTCTGCCTCTCTCTCTCTCTCTCTGTAACTATCATAAACAAATAAAAAAAAAGATATATATTTTAAAAGATTTATTTATTTACTTAAGAGAGGAGGTAGGAGAGGCAGAAGGAGAATCTTTCAAGCGGACTTCCCACTGAGCATAGCCTGATGCAGAGCTTGATCCCATGACCCTGATATCACAACCTGAGATGAAACCACGGGTTGGATGCTTAACCAACTGAGCCCCTCAGGTCCCTCTGAAAAGATGACAATTTAATGAGACCTTATTTCCCCTCCTGGGTCTCTCCTCTAAGCCTATTCCTTAGTTCCTCTGCGTTAAGATAGCATGTGAAGTCTCAATTCTTTTTCCTTTTTATATAACAAATGGTAAATACTCAAAATTTTAAAACGTCCATGTCTTGAGTTCAATCCCATCCAACCGGGGATCCCTGGGTGGCGCAGCGGTTTGGCGCCTGCCTTTGGCCCAGGGCCCGATCCTGGAGACCCGGGATCGAATCCCACATCAGGCTCCTGGTGCATGGAGCCTGCTTCTCCCTCTGTCTGTGTCTCTGCCTCTCTCTCTCTGTGTGACTATCATAAATAAATTTTAAAAAAATTAAAAAAAAATTAAAAAAAAATCCCATCCAACCATAAACTGAAGACTTAAAAAACTCTTAAAAAAAAAAAAAACACAACAAAACCCAACACCTGGTTGTCAAATGAGCTCCCCTATTTTTCCCAGCCCAGAGCTCTAAAAAGCTACATATTCACCTTCTCAAAATACATGAGCCAGTTTTTAAGACTCTTGCCAATAATTCTTTTCTACATTAAAAGCTTCAGTTAAGGTTACAGGTTCGAAAAACTGCAGAACATTCTTACTTACATCTGGAAGTCTATAGAGCTTCATGGTTCTCTGTAAAGTCATATTTCTACTCAAGTGAGAAAATTTCACTTCTACCAATTTTCTGGGGTTTAGTGATCGATGCCAGTATCTGGAATACAAAAAAGGTATTAAAATCTGATTGGCTTCTAATCCTATCAGTTTTTAGTCTTTGTCTCAGCTCAGCCGTATAGAGGATTTAATGTACACTCAAGCCACCCCTGGTACTGGACGCTGGCCCACTTCTTGTATAATTATTTTATCAGCTGTTTTATACATCTAAAATATGTCCTTCTTTCCTGGTTATGTTCCTTTGTAGTCTGTGACCTTTCATCTCTTTCAGTAAAGAGCAATCATAAAATTGCAAAATAAAGTTAAAAATGCCTAGTATGCAAGTATTTAATGACCACTGCTGATTCTATAGAAAGCAAACAAAAAGTTTAAAAACATGAAAACATCCCCTCCCCACCCCCCAAAATTAGGAGCCATCGGTTTTATATAACGCATACCAGAGAAAACAACCTTTTGAGAAACTACCTTGAATTTCTTAAGCGATTCCAGCTTGGATACTAGGATGATTTGTATTAAAACCCACCTGCAAAGTCTTATTCAAGTTATTTATGAATAATTTAATAGGAGATAGTCGTTTTACAGTTTTACCTCATAACTATGTTGGGAAAGTTTCATCTTATTTGAGTCCAAAGAATCAAGAGAGACAAACTCTGAGGCTTTACAAACAGGTTAGTCCTGGGACAAATCCGATAAACCATTTTCTCCCTGGATTAACCTTTGAAAGCTTGATAAGAACAGATGAAATCATAAAAACAGAGTTTAAGCCTTTTCTTACACTTAGCAAACAAGCTTGTTTGGGCTTTTCAGCCAGTGTTTATCAAGCATTTGGAATAGCTCCCTGACAGCTCTGCAGAGTGCGGGATATATCTGAGTGCTTGGAGCAAAGAAAATGCGAGCATGCTGGACGTTTCAAGACCATAGTTCCCTGGGCTCCCCAAGGTACAGGCAACGCTGGTCTTTCCAAGGGAAGACACACAGAAACACAGAATCAGCATCATTAGCAGGAAGATTGTTAGAACACGGGTTGTAGTGGTTCTTGGGTCTGGCCTCCACCTCTGCTACTACACCAACGACATAATAAGGTAAGCCCAAATCCCCGAGTTACACATGAGAATAACACTGGTAGCAACACAGCAGGGAGATAAGATCTGAGGCAAGCATGTGGTGGTGTTACCTGCACGTGGCCACAGGCTTAGGAAGAACCACACCGGCTGTATAAACGGCTTGAAAAATCCCTTCCAGGTTCACTCTTCTGGTTATTTCTCGAATTAACACGGGGGCTACCCGTTTTGACCTCAATTTCTTGTGAACACAAAGAAAGTTGATTTCTACCATCTTCTTTACACTAAGAAAGATGACAAAAATCGGAGTGAATGTAAGATGAAACCATTTTAAAAAATAAGACAACACCCATAAAATTTCAAAGAATAAGAAACTGAGGGACTCCTTTCAACACAATATTTAACAAAAACAGCCCATCATTTAGACATTTCACAAGTTCAGGTAGATATGCTAGTCCCCAAATCCCCTGCCAAAATGATTACAACTCTAGGCCATGGAGACCCAAACCCCTTGTTCTAAAAACATTTAAGACTTTAATTGTTTTGGTAGGTTTTCACTTTAGAAAATGGGTAAGATGTGCCTCAAAGTTTCTACATCTGTTTTTTTTTTCCCTGTAATGTATGCAATTAGAACAATAACTGGGTCAGCTATCTGCACAATCTGGTTAGATGTTTCTTTTGGACTATGATGCAATCTCTAGGATCCCTGAGAGGTGCCTTGACCACAGGAGAGCAGGTGTTTCTCTGAGCTGCTGTAAACATTCCAGAGCTTCAAAGTCTGTTCCCTGCTCTGGTCTCAGATATGCAGGCATTCCATGTGGCACAGAGATCCCTTGACATCAAATGTTTTTTAGCAGCAAAGAAACTCACTCAATATACTGAAAGGTAAACAGCCCTACTATGCATTAGATCTCTGACTTTCTGGGAGCAAAAATGCAAAAAAGCTGTCCTATGGATCAAAAGATTTAAAAAAAAAATCTCTCCTAAAATCTTTTAAGGTAATTTTTTTCTATATAAATACATCTGAAATACCTACCACGGCTTTCTTTATCTTGATGCATATGTACATACACGTATGTAAAATTCGTCTTGTGTGGGACACCTGGGGGGCTCAATAGGTTAAGCATCTGCCTTCCGTTGGGGTCATGATCCTGCAGTGGGCTCCCTGCTCAGCAGGGAGTCTTTTTCTCCCTCTGCCTCTCCCCTAGCTTACCGGCTTTCTCTCTCAAATAAATAGGTAAAATCTTAAAAAAAAAACCAAGTGTCTGTGTGTGTGTGCATTTATGAGCTACAGCTATCCTCTTGTTCACAGTCCAATTTTTAAAAATTAAATCAACCTTATTTTTTAGAGCAGTTTTATATTTAGTAAAACAAAGCAGAAAGGAGAGTTCCCTTAGACCCCTCCCCCCCATACAATCTCCCCCACTATGAACAATCTGAGTAAGTCGCTTTTAAAAGCCCACTGTAACTGCAATTCTTGGAAAAGCAACACATCGAAACTGACACAGACAAGCTTTAATAGGTACCTGTCATAAATCCGAATGTTGGCGGGGATGGCACTTATGAACCCTACTAGCTTCTTGTTCGAAGACACTCTGACCCCACAGTGCCACTGAAGGAGCCAGCCTGGGGGACGCAGCGCCCTGAGGTCAACACAGGCAAGGATGACAGGTGCAGGTTAGTGTCCAGGAACCCAGGGAGAGCCCAAGGCACGCCACCCTGCCACTGCCTGCACCCGGGGCGCCCCCTGCCCCCCCCCCCCCCCCCCCCCCCGGCGTCCGGCCAGACTCACCACAGCAGGAACTCGGGTGAGTAGTCAAACCGGAACACGCTCTCCTCGTCTTCCACGTAATTCTCATTTAACAGCGTGTACAACTCCTTGAGCTACAAGACCAAGCAAGTGTCCTGTCTACAGTGCTCGCCACCCACTTGGAAGCAATTTGTGCGATGGCAGGTGTCGAACCGAGGAGCGTTACTCACCACGTCGGCGTTGCCCAAGTCTAGGGTGTCCCACATAAAACCCTGGGGCAGGGAATAGGGCTCCTGGCGCACGTGGTCTTTATCGGCTTCGATCGCCCCGTGGGACGTGATGACTTCATCTGTGGAGGGGCAGAGGAGAGAAAGAATGAACATTCAACTATAGTGTATTCCGATGGCCAAAGTGATCCGTTACAGAGAATGACATCATTTCTAGGGCCCTGGGGTTACACCACTGTTTCAGCCCCTTCTGGAGTGAGACTGGTAGTGGAGAGGAGCTGCCATCTCACCAATTAGAGGGAGAAATCCTTCCTCCTGCAATGACAGGGTGTGTACTACGACATCCCAGGGACAGCCTCAACCCCTAAGTGACAGATCCATGGTGCTGCACCACAGGGGACAGTGTGGGTCTGATGACCGCCTGGAGATGGGCTCTCTTCTTACTCTGCATTTCAAACACCTGGGGGTGGGGGGTGACAAGGTGACCTCTGACCCCACCCCGCAAAACCTAGAACTTATTTCAGGACCGTTGACTTCTCTCCACAGGGGCTGCTGGCAGTCCAGCTGAAAACATCAGCGTCTCGTGGTTTCCACGAGGGTGCCCTTTCCAGATCCTTCCCCACTGCCTCCCAGTGTGACTGGGATAGAACCCAGGCCCTGCCTGGCCTTGTTCTCCGGGTTCATCCACACTGGCCCCAGCTCATGGCATCTGGGGGTTCCCTCTGCTCTCAGAGCCCCTCCCCTGCTCTCCATGTGGTGGGCCACTTGAGGGTTTGCAGACAGAAGCTTACACATCACTTTCCCACAGCATCCTTCCCTGACTCAAGCTTTCTCCTACCTGGAGGAGGCCCTCCCTCCATCCCCGCCTGGCCACTCTCTTCATCCTACTTTCCTACTTTCCCATCACTGTTCCCCTGGCACGCTCCCCAGCGCCTGGCATTTAACAACAGATACTCAACACTGATCTGCTGACTATTACTCAGTCATAAAAAAGAATGAAGTCTTGCCATTGGCGACCACATGGATGGACCTTGAAGACAGTACAGGAAGTGAAATAAGTCAGAGAGAGAAAGATAAATATTGTACGAGTTCACTTACATGTGGAATCTAAAAAAACAAAAATTCTGAATTCCTAGACACAGAGAACAGACTGGCAGTTGGCAGGGGGCAGGGGTGGGAGCGTGAAATGAGTGAAGAGGGTCAAAAGGCAGAAACTTTCAGTTATAAAGCAAGTAAGTTCAGGGGATGTAAACACAGCATGATGATTATAGTTAATAATACTGCATTGCATATTTGAAAGCTGCTAAGACAGGAGATCTTAAAAGTCCTTATTACAAGAAAAAAAAAATCTGTAACTAGGTGTGGTAAGGGATGGTTGGTAGATCTCCTGTGGGGGTCATTTGACAATGTACACAAATGTGGTATCATTCTGTTTGACCCCTGAAGCTAATATGTTGCTAAATGACAATGACACCCAAAAGGATAAATAAACAGAACCAGGAGGAAAAAAGGAACAGGTATCTGCTGAATAAATGACCTTCAGGTACACGTTCTTTGTGGAAGCCACAAGGTCTGCAACAGCTCGGAGGGGTTTCATTTTCTCTTTCTTTCTTCCCCCTGACTTTGTCACTTCCCCTGAAGCAGAAGTTCACTGCCCCTCCACCAGCTCGCTGGTGAGCCAGATTCTCAGCTGTTCCCTTGGAGTTCCTTTCAGGAGATCCCCTCAGAGCCTGGCTACCCACCGGACACTGGGGACAACGGTGGGGGTGGGGGTGGGGTGGGGGGTGAGGGGGGTGGTGGTGGTGGGGCTGCCTCTGCTGCCACCAACCTTGATGCTGCCTTAACTGAGATGCAAACCAGGTGTTCCCCCTGGAACTAGGGGAGTCCCACAGGGATTTAGGGAGGGGGCACCAAAATGTGACGCATGCCCCCTATCTTCCCAAAGACATGTGCTGGTGCCAGCCGGGCTTTCCTGCCCCTGGGGCAGTGACCTAAAAGCCACCAGCAGCTTGCCAAGCATGTGCAGCTAAACCTAATACATCGGATCAATCAACCCTACATCCCTTTAGCTCACTCAATTCAACAGCATTTTAAACCCTGTAAATTCATACTGGAGTCTCCCTCCACTACCGAACACACGTATTTCTAGAGCCTGAAAGAAGAGACAAGTGAGGATAACTGTTTTCCTCTATCTTTCACATTCCCAAGCCCGTGTTTTATGAAGAAGCGTGGGGTGGACATGGCTGGGAGAGGCCTGGTAACTTTGAAAAGTTTGAAAACCATCATTTGAGGGCACAGACAAGGATCGTTTCCTGACTTTTATGTGATAAAACTGATAATTTGTACATGGCTGGACTATTATTACAAGATCTGGATGACAATCCTTCATCTTACATGTTCTGGAACCCAAACAATCAAGGAGGAAGAACAGCCAGACAGAGAAATAATTATCATCTATCTTCATATGAGGATAACAGAAAGCAGCAGGTTTTAGCTTTTAATACAGTCATAAACATTTTAGTGCATTTACGGCATCATTTTTTATTGCAACAAGGGAAGAGTTAAATGATGTTTACGGAAACTTATGAGGCAAGAGTCTGAGTGGAACATGAGGGACCAGGCTGAGTGCGGAGGGGAGAGGGGAGAGGCCTGATGCCCAGACATCCCTGCACAGAGGAGTCCCCAGGGTGCTCCCAAGGGGCCCCCAAGGTCCCTACTGAACCGCAGCTGTTCAGCTCGAGCTGCTAGGAATTAACACCAGCAGTGAGCCTGCAGAATCCTATTGTTAAGCTGCGCCAAAATTTTCCATTTCAATAAGATTTAGCAGGGCATGGGGATCCCTGGGTGGTGCAGTGGTTTGGCGCCTGCCTTTGGCCCAGGGCGCGATCCTGGAGACCTAGGATTGAATCCCACATCGGGCTCCCGGTCCATGGAGCCTGCTTCTCCCTCTGCCTGTGTCTCTGCCTCTCTCTCTCTCTCTCTGTGTGTGACTATCATAAATAAATAAAAATTTAAAAAAAGATTTAGCAGGGCAAATTTCCTGTATCTTTGAAATAAATCAGATGTGAGACTGCTATAAATTTATGCACAGGAAAAACAATTCTATGAAGCTCAGGACCAAGAAAGGTTCTGAGACTCTGTCTTTTATATATATTTTTAATACAATAATGTTTCAAGAGGGAGAAGCTGGATTTTTTTAATAGAAAGAGGAATGAAACTCTAAAGTTGTCTCTACTGAAAGCCAATGTCACTACCCAATATTTATATTTTAAGAAGAAAAACAAGACTTTTGTGTACATTGCTAATCTGCGGTATAAAACAAATTATGTAAGTTAAGTTTCTTTTGTTTTTTGTTTGTTTGTTGCTAACCCAGCTGTTTTTTTTGGAGGAGGGGGGTAGGCAGAAAAGCTTACTTAATTTGGGTACCGGCTGTGTGTCCCAAAACTGGTATCTGTGTTTGGCAGCCTCATCAATGTTCCTGGCAGGGCCCTGGCATGCGGACAACAGCTCCATTGCTCTCTGGATATCCTGCAACTTCTGCATTGGAATGGTGGGATTCTACAACAGCAAAGACACACAGACACAAAAATGAGGAAGCTGCCACCACTCCCAAACTTGGGGCAGACACACGTGCATCCACCTTGGAGACTACAACACTGAAACACGAACAATCTTCCTCTAAGCCTGGTCAGGACCTCGGGCTCAAGGATACTAACATAGTAAAACAGAAGCAAACACAGTATGTTAAAGGTAACAACGACTCTGGTTTTAATGAGGCTTTGATATAGGTTTTGAGTAATCTGAAGCAAAGCCAACCACCCGGGGCTGCAGGGTCCCACCCATTTGCAGAGGGTCCTCTCCTGCACTAGCCAAGCAACAGAGAGGACTGACATGCATGCATGCATTACTACCAGGTGGCAGCCAGTCAGGCACACCCTTGGTTTCACTGTTGAGGTTAATGCCCTGTAGTAGCAATGTGAGGACAGAGGAAAGAACGAGCTAGAATGGAAATAAGGCAGACGAAGGAAATTTTAGTTCATTAAAAAGAAGAAAGAAAAGAAAAGAAAGAAAAGAAAAAAGAAAAGGAAAGGAAAGGAGAAAAGAAAGAAATGTGAATGAGTGCTGAGCTGGGAAGGAAGTTAATCAAGAAAGAAAATCTCTAAGTATGCCTTCCTCCTGGACCACACCCTGCCTCTCCCAGCCCAGATGCTTCTCCAGAGACAAATCTTCCAACTAGAACAAGCAGTTTCTTCCATTGAGTTTAGATTTTTTGGCAACCACAGCCTGTTTTCCCCACCCTGAGTGTTGGAAACTAACTTTTTTAAGTAAAACATATTCTCAGTCTGGAAAACTGATGATACCTTTCGATTCTCAAGTTCCTTCCTCCAAGCCAATATCCCTCTTATCTCTGCAGATTCTTCAGCTCTTTTTTTCTTTTTCTTTCTTTCTTTTTTTTTGGAAAGTCCCTCAAATGGAAAGTGGGACTACGATACTTGAACTGAGAGAGTAGCACTCAGGGCCGGATTGGAAAATCACAGAGTGTTTTCAGTACACAAAATTATTATTTTAGTATTTTGATGCCACGCAAAGAATGCTCTCCACTGAAGTTCAGAGGTGGTTAACAAGAACTTCAGAGCCCCCCCGTTTTCCTGTGTGTCAACATCCCACAGCTACCAAGGAAAGGTATCACCGACCCTGCTGGTTTATTGACAGTAGTTCTGGACTTCTGTTCAACCTTGAATCTGATGTCTGTGGTCTGGAGTCTATCCTTTAACTTGGGAAACTTTACCCATTTGACACAGTACAAAACAGGGCTTATTTCATACAGACCGCCCTGTGTTTGCTCTATCGTTGGGTTTCCTTAGGATCCTTGCCACTAAAATGATTCAAGGATACAAAATGCTGGAGTCTAATCAGAGATGTGTTCATTGTCTTACTGTCTCCATTTATGAGTCTAACAGCATCACCCAGGAGGGTCACAATTTTCTAAGACATTTCTCTTGTATTTCCATAGAGGTCTAAGTCATAGAGGTATGGTTTCAGCTACATATATTGACATAATAAAATACTTTCGCTGTTCCCATTTATTGTATTTTTAGATTTCTCTTGCTCTGGTCTCCTCTGAACCTCCAACATAAGAGTTACTGAATACCAGCAAAGTAAAATTTATATCCATCTGAACCCTTAATAAGGCAATGCATTAGAAGACCTACAACGTAAACGGGAACTCTGAATATAGTGTATTTCAGTTAGTAACACTTGAACATGCACCCATTTATCTTTAAAAAGACAAATCTGAACCTACAATGCTTGCACTGAATTTGTTATGGGACAAACAGCATGTTTTCCTTCCTAATGCTGGAGTTAAATTCTCGATCACAAATATACTAAACTCAAGCTATTCTGCGACTAGCATGAATCGGCATCTTTGTTCCAAAGGAGCCAACTTTGTTCCAAAGGATATCCCAACTCCATGAGTGGTTTCAGAGTGGTTTCAACTCCACCTAATTAGCCTCACCAGACTGACGAGCAGTCTTTACATAAAATGACCATTCATGTAGATTTGTATCTGAACGCTCACTATTTTAAGTGCTTTCTTGAAGTGGATACAAGTAAGCACAGTTTTCAAATCCATGGTGACAAAGCAGCAAAGGAAAATTCAGCTACGATACATTCTCAAACCTATCCATTCACCTTCCACAGCAGCACCGCCTGGGGAGAAATGAATTAGTGTTAGGGAAGGTGAGAAGCGGATCAACCCCATGTTAGCTTCCCGCCACTGAATCTACGTCAGGCACACCTCTTTCCTTCAGTGGAATACTAAACTCCAATTGTACTCTTTACCCTTTATTAACTTTTATATTTAATATCTTGGAAAATGTCCAAGTCCTCCGCCACTAAGAAGTCTAAAAAATCCAGACAAGTATTATCGGATTCCGGTAGTTGAGTGCAGAACAGAGTGTCTTCTAAACACAAACCACTGTGATCTACAGTGTTATCTAGAGAAAGGAAAGAAGCTCCAGTTTTAAAAAATGCAATGGAGGGGTGCCCGGGAGGCTCAGTCGGTTAAGTGTCTGCCTTTGGCTCAGGTCACGATCCTGGGGTCCTGGGATCGAGTCCTGCATTGGGCTCCCTGCTCAGTGGATAGCCTGCTTCTCCCTCTGCCTCCTCCCCTTTGCGATTTTCATGCTCTGTCTCTCTCCCTCTCTCAAATAAATAAATGAATAAATAATGTACCAGAGAAAGGCCTACATTAAAACAATTCTGATTTACTGTCAATTAAAAAAGAAAATTTCTCTACCATAGAACGCTAGCAGTTCCTCCTGCCTTGGCTGGTTCTAGTTTCTTGTAAGTACCCAGAAGTAAGGGAAGGGCTCAAAAATCACTGGGGGTGCAGAGAGGGGTACAAGCTGATGGTGATGGTGGAAGCAATAAGGAGGTCAGAACTACAGAGAAGTGACCCTGCACTTCCCTGATGAAGCGATGCTGAGAAATGGGAAAAATGTCTTGCAAGGTGATGGGTTGCCTTATATGGGTGACCTTGGGAAACAGGTCTGGTGGATAGAGTATTTGTTACCTGAGAGACGAGCTGAAAACCGAGAGGGAACACCCCATTTTCTTCTCACCCCCACACAGGTAGTCAGGGAAAATTGGGCAAAGTTAAGTCTCCTCTCAGTGACTCCTGGTCCTTACGTGTAAAACAGTAACAACAGCAAAAACCGCCTGCAAGACTGGCTTCGCGCGAGGCGGTGTACGCTGCGCGCAAGAAACAAATATTTCAACCCTTTCGCGCGAGCGGTGTACGCTGCGCGCAAGAAACAAATATTTCAACCCTAGGAAACTTGCATAATGGTAACTGTTGCCATAGGTACAAGGGCTTTAGAATAGAAAGATCGTTCAACAGAAAGGATCTAAGTGTCACCTCCCTGTCGCAGATGAGGGCGGCACCCACACAGCTCAGGAGCTGCGGCCGTGATGGAGCCCCCGCTCCCCGGGCCACTCTCCGGCCCTCCGGCCACACCACCACCTCCAGGACAAGGGCCGTGGGGCTGCAACCAGCAAAATCATCTGTGCTTCCTTTCATCACACTTCTGATTCTGCCCTTTCACCCTGTGAGTTTCTTGCCTCCAGAGGGCTCAGTGGCCTCCTGCGGCCGGCAAGCAAGGCCTGTGTTCCCAGCCAGGGTGGCCGGGGCACCTGCCATTGGCCCCCCGGAGCCCCTGCAGGTTCGGTCCTGGCTGGGGATGTCTCCGGGGGGAGGGGGGGCTGTCGGGAGCCACTTCCCACCCTGGGCAATGGAATTTAAGAATGGCCACTGAGGATTCAAAGTCGGAAGACTTACCCGTGGCTGCTCCCGCTGAAATCTGCTGCCAGATGGTGTTGTGCTATTCAGATAATTAGACAGACACCCAGAAAAATTAAAATGTGAATATCTTCTGAACTAAAAGTAATTACATATTAAGTGTAACTTCAAAAAAAAACAACAAAACAAAACACGACAAGACACACCTAACAAACTCACGCTGAGACTTAACTTCTAGCACTACAATCTACATGCTAATTTGCTCTGAGCAAAAGGAAAACTGCAGCCCATAGCCACACACACACACACACACACACACACACACACACACACAGTAACACAGTCTGTACCTCTTGGTCATTTAGGTACCCACACCAGCGCCAGGAAGGCTGTGAAGCCTCCAGTGACGACTGTCATCTAGCGCGCACTCAGGGCACAACCCTAACGCCCCTCTGGTCTTGCAGGGGGCGGGGTGGCACAGTCCGCCTCTCACGTGCCTGAAACACCGCAGGGGGTAAAATAAAACTGGGGTCTCACTTTTGAAGGCTGCTGGATTTTGATCTCCTGGGAATCAGAAGCCGAGTCGGACTTGGTGCCTCCGGAGTTTGGTTTCTCCTTTTTTCTCTTCTGTTTCTTCTTTTTCTTCTTGGCACCCAAATCCCCTCCAGGACTTCTGTTAGGAGAGTCACAGAGGATCAAACAAGAACGAAAAATCATTATATAAAATTAGTCATTGAGAAGAACGTGAATTATACCCAGGAGGGGGGGAGAAACAAAACAAAACTGTGTTAGGATACCTGATATTGTGATTTCTAAGAAGCATACATATTTGATCATTCAGATGACCCTCATACATATTTCCTAAGCGACAAGAGCTTAAAAATGTCTTATGTTAATGATGTGACTTTTGGAAAGTGCCTATGGATGGGAGCTGGTTGCTTGTGGTGCCAGCCCTGTGATCAGAGGGTTGGAAATTCCAGTCCCGGCCCCCAACATCCAGGGAGGAGAGGGGGGCAGCAGGATGGCCGATGGTTTAATGAGTCCTGCCTACAGAACGCAGCCTCTATAAAACCCCAAAAAAGACAGGGTTCAGGGAGCTTCTGGGTTAGTGAAGCCATAGAGATTCGGGGGGAGTGGTGCGCCCAGAGAGCATGGAGACTCTGCGCCCTTTCCCCACACCTGGGCCTGTGCATCTCTTCCACTTGGCCAGTCCTGAGACCTCTCCTTTTAGGATAAACCTGTCATCTAGTAAATAAAATGTTTCTATCCCTTCTGTGAGCTGTTCCAGCAAATTAGTGGAATCTGAGCAAGGGGTCTTGGGAACCTCTGATTTATAGCCAGTCGGTCAGAAGTGCAGGGGACTGTTTGGGTTTGAGGCTGGCATCTGAAGTGGGGGGCAGTGTGGGGTGTGCACAATCCTGTAGGACTGAACCCCTACCTCAAGGAATCTGATGCTACCTCCAGGATGGAGTTAAATAGAATTCTGCTGGTGTCATGTAGGAAGCCCCCCGCTCCACATGCACATGATGGGATCAGATCCAGAAACTCAAAACAAGATGTAAGGTGGGAAATGAAATTTAGTCAGATGAGAGTTACCAGGACAAGGAAGTAGGAAGAATTATTAGTCTCCACTCAGCCATACTGCAGCTGCTTACATATCATCCGAGCAGGGAAACTGTAGCTAGAAACCATATTTTATAATGGAAGTCAAAGGACTTTCACACTTAACCACAGTGCCGCTAACCTACTTTCCAGTCAGCCTTCTAAGGGAGAGCTACGTGTTGTGAAAAACTCCATTATAAACATCTCTTGGGTGCAACAAACCACTCATCTCAACATCACAGAACCGAAGAAACCGCTTCTCCATAGAAGGGGAAATTTTCCTTGGTAAAGAATTTAGCAAGAGGAATTAACAGTAAGAAATTCCACGTGAAGAAAATGTCCACTGGTAAAACATTTCTGTCTGGAACTCTTGTCCTCTTATGACTGTCACCTCCTGAAATAGCGGAAGAGACACAAGGAGATGTACCGTTTCCAGTTACTTGGGTCTAGGTTACCACAGGGCTCCCAGCAGGTAAGGTGAGGTTCCGAGCTGGTTACACCACTACGGCCTGTCTGGAGGGTGAAGTGATGGAAACGATCAGTTCCATTCTGTTGTCCTCAAATGGCTGTATCTGCTGCTACCTACTTTCCCTCTTGACTTTTTTACCTAATTTTCAAATATATCTGCATCATACAAGACACACAAGATATGTATGAATAGCCTTGAGACATTTGTCCCTCAAAGGCAACCAGTGGGTTTTCTGGTACATATTCTTCCAAAACTGTCTTTCTTCTCTTAGCACGCCTTCATTTTCACTGTAAGTTTTAAACAAAAACGGTCTCTTAAACATACCATTCGCCGACTTGCTTTTTTTTTGCCTTCCACTTAACAATGCGTCTTAAGACTTCTTCCCATGTCAGGATATATTGAGCTACCTCATTTCTTCTTAGCAGCTAGAGTGTATTCCATTGTGTAAATATAGCATATTTAACCATTCCTATATTAAAAACTGCTGTGGCAGGGGCGCCCAGGTGGCTTAGTTGGTGAAGCATCTGTCTTTGGCTCCGGTCATGATCCCGGGGTTCTGGGATCGAGCCCCACATCAGGCTCCCTGCTCAGCTAGGAGTCTGCTTCTCCCTCTCCCTCTGCAGCTCCCCCGCTTGTGCTCGCTCTCATGCTCTCTCCCTCTCAAATAAAGAAATGAAACCTTTTTTTTAATGCTGAAAAAAAAAAGTACAGTACTTATATCTTTAAGCATTCATGCCATTATGTCCAAAGGTGGAAATGCTAGGTCAAAGGGCACCCATGTTTTTACTTTTAGTAGATAATTAAGATTGTTTTACTAAATACTGTGCCAGTATCCACTTTACCAACAGTATGTCAGTTTCTGGTTCTGCATGTAAGGAGCTTAGAAATCACCACTCCATCTTAACTGAAAAATCAACAATTCCTCTTGGATCCATGAGAAAGGCAAGGACACAGGACAAACTAAGACTGGACAGACAGGTGAATACAGGGCATTGCTGCTTCCCGGAGCAAAGTCTCAGGAATGCAGAGTGGGACTCAGGTAAGAAAGCCAGAGGTGGGGGCGCCTGGGTGGCTCAGTCGCTTAAGCATCTGCCTTTGGCTCAGGTCATGGTCTCAGGGTCCTGGGCTTGAGTCCTGCGTTGTTGGGCTCACTGCTCTGCGGGGGCATGTGTGTGGGGGGTATCTTGCCTCTCCCTCTCTCTCAAATAAATAAAATGTTAAACAAACAAACAGAAAATCAGAGGTGTAACTGCCCAACTGCTGGGGCCTGCATGTGGACCAGAGATCCAGTCACAGGGATCTCCCACACTTTCATGAGTTTTACCTCTAGGAGCTGTCAGGTTCTGAGAGCAAACATCAGACAACAATCCCCCCATGCTTCTGGCAGTGGGAGGGAAAGAGGGGAAGACAGTGGGCTGGGTTTGATATTTTCCCATGTCACTTAGGCTCTGGTTGACTAGTTTCTTCTGGGGGCCAGGCCTTGTTGAGAACACAGTGCTCCCACTGTAGCGTCCTGTGTCACACAAGAGGGTAGGAGAAGATTCAGGAAAACACAAACGAGTTCACAGCCCAGAGGCACAGACTCACTAGGAGCTGGGAGGGGCCCAAAGGCAGGACCATGGAACCCCCTGGCCCTCACCTCACCTCCATGCTACTGCAGGCCCCCCAGAGCAGTTCCGCTCACCTGGTAGCTGACATCTGGCTACCCAGAAAAAATTACAAGGCATACTGAGAGGCCAAAAACACACTTGGAAAAAAAAAAAAAAAAGACCAAGCACAGGAGTCAGACAGGGGGGAATCCCTGGGTGGCGCAGCGGTTTAGCGCCTGCCTTTGGCCCAGGGCGTGATCCTGGAGACCCCAGATCGAATCCCACGTCGGGCTCCCGGTGCATGGAGCCTGCTTCTCCCTCTGCCTATGTCTCTGCCTCTCTCTCTCTCTCTGTGTGACTATCATAAATCAATAAAAATTAAAAAAAAAAAAAAAGGAGTCAGACAGGGCAGGGATACTGGAATTCTCAGACCAGGAATTCAAAACAGCTATGATTAATATGTGGAAGTGTCAAAGGAACAAAGGAGACAGCATGCAAGGGCCAACAACATTAACAAAGAGATAGAAAACCTGAGAAAGAACCAGAAAGAAATGATAGAAAAAAAAGGCACAGTTAGAGAAATGAAGAGTGCCTTTGATGGGCCTATTAGGGGACTGGGCATGACTGAGGAAAGAATCTCTGAACTCGAAGATACAGCAATAGAAACCTTAACAGGGGGTGCCTGGGTGGCTCAGTGGTTGAGCATCCACCCACGGCTCAGGGTGTGACCCTGGCGTCCTGGGATTGGAGTCCCACATCAGGCTTCCTGCAGGGAGCCTGCTTTTCCCTCTGCCTGTGTCTCTGCCTCTCTCTGTGTGTCTTTCATGAATGAATAAATACAATCTTCAAAAAAAAACCCAAAACAAAACAATACAGAAAAAAAGCTCAATGGAAATTTCCAAAAGCAGGGCACCTGGGGGGCTTGGTTGGTGAAGCGCCTGTCTCTGTCTCTTGATTTTGGCTCAGGTGATGATCTCAGGGTCATAGGATAGCACCCCACGCTGGGCTTCCCCTACCCCCACTCTCACAGGCAAGTATGCACTCTATCTAAAAAACAAACGAAAACAGGAACAAAAAAAAGGAACCTCAAGAAGTGAAAAGCCATGAGAACAAAGCCTGATGAAGTAGAAAAGAATATCCAAAGGCTGTGGGATAACTAACTACAAAAGGTGTGACATATGCGTGATGGGAATACCAGAAACAGAAGGAAGAAAGAAGGAACATAAAAAAAATATCTGGAAGAGTCACGACTGAGAATTTCCCCCAATTAATGTCAGATACCAAACCACAGATCCAGGAAGCTCAGAAGACACTGGACAGGATATGTGCCAAAACACACTAGCTTCGGCATTGGCACATCCTTTTCAAACTACAGAAAATCAGAGATTTGAAAAAAAAAAAAATCCTGAAAGCCAGAGGCAAAATACATTTTTCCTATCAAGGAACAAAAAACAGTACATAAATGGGAATGTAATTTCCCAACTTCTCTGCCAATACTGAAATATTAACACTCTTATTCACCTTTGACAGTCTTTTTTTTAATATTTTTTTAATTTTTATTTATTTATGATAGTCACACACAGAGAGAGAGAGAGAGGCAGAGACACAGGCAGAGGGAGAAGCAGGCTCTATGCACCGGAAGCCCGATGTGGGACTCGATCCCAGGTCTCCAGGATCGCGCCCTGGGCCAAAGGCAGGCGCCAAACCGCTGCGCCACCCAGGGATCCCCCACCTTTGACAGTCTTTAAAAAAAAAAAAAAGATTTTATTTGAGACAGAGAGAAAGAGAAGAGCAGGGGCAGGGGCAGAGGGAGAGTGAGAAGCACACTCTCCTCTGAGCAGGGAGCCTGACCCAGGGCTCCATCCCAGGACCCTGAGATCATGACCTAAGCCTAAGGCAGATGCTTAACTGACTGAGCTCTTTGACAGTCTTATAAGTAGAAAAGTCTCGTTGCAGATTTAACTTTTCTTTACTTAATTAGGAGTGAGGCTATAAATCTTCCCATATGTTTAC